TATATATATATATATATAATATCTGCCTGGAATTCAGCTTTAAATGCATGTGACTTTTGACATATCCATTGTGTCCTATCAGAAATGGTAACATTTTACTCTATGCATTGGGAGTCAACTGCATTCTGTTAGCCACTGGTAATTCACACAGACATAGACTTGCACTGCTTCTAGTATCAGCACATGGAAGTCTACAAAGTCTGAAAATTCTCCGTTCGGCTCAATGAAAACAGGAGACAGGAAAAATTGTCCAAGTATGTCGATGAGAATATGCTGACACGTACACTTTCTACTCCTCCCTATGTGCTATGTGTCTCAAGTTGCCACACTGGCTTGGCCAGTATTTAAGGCTTGAATATATTGATTGGTAAGGAGGGGTGGGTGTTACTTGTATCCTTAAATAGGACTATGAAAGCCGCCTTCATAGAGATATAAACAATACAAATAAATGTTTCAATGGTGTTGGTAACTACCTGCCAATTACTTTTTCTAATGGAAACGATGGACATGGCTGAACAGTTGAAGTTCCATGAAGCCGAATTCTAAGTTTGAGGTTTAAGGTAGAACAAAATAGTTTTTTGGGGCCAAATAAAGCTATGCGTAGGCAACGTAAAGCATGTGTATAGTTCTATTGTTAGCCAGGTTGAACAAAAAGTCCATCGCGTTCAAACTATATGCTAGAACCATTTTGTTTTGAACAGAGTAGGGAAGAGTTAAAACCCAATCTCTTTGGGAAGACTCCCATTCATACCCTGTCCTGGAGAAGCAAAAGGAAGAGAGAATCTCTAGACTGAAGATGAGGCTGGGATTGGTGGGAATCCAGTTCGCCAGGGATTGCCCTAGCCCATTTAAAACTCTGACCACCACCCCCTCCTCCTGACCCAATCAATTTCAGTATTTACGGCAGGGGCATTCTCTGCCTCTCTGTAGGGGGGGGGGATGCACGTTCCCGCAACTGTTTGGGTTGGGCAGGTCAGAGTTTTGAGCGGTCTTGTGGAACTCATTAGCCAAACCTCATCACTACTGTATATAAGAGGTAGGTAACCCCGGAACTCCAGCTGCTCTGCAACTACAAGTCCCATGATGCATTGCAAGACTCTGACAGCCACAGGTATGACTCCTGGGCTGAAAATGATGATTGGGTTTGTAGTCTCACCACAGCTGAGGCTGCCTACCCTTGCTCTATAAAGCGGGAGGAATGCCTCCAGTTGTCACCACTGTAAGACTTCTCCTCTCTTCCTGTTCTTGTGACAACTTAAAAATTAAAATTTGCTCATTTTTATTTCTGACCTGCGGCATATATGCGCATATGCCTCCTGGGGTCTGTGACGTAGACATCCCTAGAGGGAGTGGCGGCTGGCAGGACTATGTCCTCCTCACCTAGGCAGGATTCAGTAAGCGGACCTCTAATAACATTAAGTAAAATTGTGTAAAAGGGATGGGGACGGAGGCAGGGGGGAGAGTTATTTTAGTGGGTGAAGGTCCACTGTACCCCGACTGCATTCCTGCACTGCTCATCCCATAAGATGAAGATCCACCCTGCTGATGAGAAGTCTCTCCTGTGTGTCAGCCACCCCTTGGAAAGTGCAGGACACCATCTGCTCTCCTGGATGCTGTGAACAGCCATTTGGAATACCAATAGCTCTTTGTTGAAGACGGGAGTTGGAAAGCTCTCTTGTATTTGTAGAGCCTGAGAGTGTCTGGTATTGTGTTTCCCTCTCCCCGAGGGAAGATGGTCCCTTTTCTTCTGCTGCCTTTGATTCCCTTGCCCGTTACACTGAGAACAAGCTACTGGTTGCAGCTGCTGCTGTCAGCTGGGGACTCCCCTATTCTGTTAGCTCTCTTCCTTAATCCCAGTGCGGGGACGCACCAGCCGACTTTCCCACATGGCCACCTTAACAAGGAGCCTTCCTTCTTCTTGCATATTTTAAAAGCTTCGAAGTTCTGCTTTTTTCTCCCACGTACAGAAGGTCTCCGCTTAAGAAGAACAAAACCCCAGGCAGATAGAAAATACATGCAGTGCTGCACTGTGGAGGCTCAGCACATTGGCCTAAGCAGGGCTCTGTTGCTTTGCACAGTGTTGTCAGTTTAACACTGAGATGAGACTTACAGGAGGGCAGAGAGCAGGGGTGGATCTCATCTAACTGCTCCAACCGCAGGCTATGCGGCAGGTCACTGGTCATATTGTGTCGCTTTGTTGCAGTGAATAAATATGGGATTAACAACCTGGCTGTGCTGCTTGGAAGAGTTAAAGGAGAAGTATGAGGTGAGTGCTTTTCACTCACCTCATATTCTAGCCGACCTGTGACAATGAAACTGTCACAGGTCGGCTCAGTAGATCGGGAACTGAGCGAACACATACCGGCGTTCGCTCACTTCTCGATCCTGTCACTGCAGAGAGCCGTGACAGGGGAGTGACTGGATTCCCCCCTCCCCTGTCCGATCCTTCAGCGCTGACTGGCGGAACGGACGGCGGAGGGGGCCTGTACAGCTGGCTCTGCCTCTACATAGACAGCTGGGCGGATCCAGACATAATTGTCGGGATCCGTTTCAGCTGCGGCTCGCGGTATACTGAGCTTTGGGTGACCTAGTTTGTGTCCTCCCGTTACCCTTAGGAGAACTATGGGGAAAATCCCTAACCCCATAGTTCTCATTTAAACAAAAACTGACAACTGACAGTCCGTCTCTTGCATTAATTCAGCAGGTTTTGAATTTCTGAGGCTAGGTTCACACCTAGGCGACACATCACTGAGCGGTCAGGAGTCGCTAAGGTGTGAACCGATCGTGCTGTGGGTACCATTATTTTCTAATGGCACCCCAGTCGCGCCGGGCGGATCGTGCGGTTTCCCATCACATCAGTCCCTACCCTCAAGGAGCTTACAATCTAAGGTCCCCATCTCGCATGCATACATAGAGGGCCAATTTAGACAGGGGCCGATTAGCCTGCCAGCGTGTCTTTGGAGTGTGGGAGGAAACCAGCGCACCCGTAGGAAACGCACACAAGCACAGGGAGAACATGCAAACTCCTTGCAGAGAGTGACCTGGCCGGGATTCGAACCAGAGACCCCCAGTGCTGCAAGGCAGAAGCGCTAACCGCTACGCCACTGTGTAGTGAGAGAACTTATCATAGATGTCATTTTAGATTTCACCCACGGGTCCGCTGTAAGGTCCAATAGAGCAATTGGGACAATTTACAAAACTTTCATTTTTTTTAAAAGTATAAAAACAAAATCTAAAGAAAGAAAAAGTTGATGGTTGGGTTGGCACCATTGTGTAAAAATGTAAAACTAAAAAGTCTTCACTCGACTATTTTTAATGATATTTCTTGTCTTTATTTTTTTTTTTGGCGACCGGAATTCTTTAAACCGTTGACCCATCGCAGCTCGCTGTAAGAAAACAGTTTTCCATATTGAAAGGGTGGAGCGGGGAGTAAAAAAAAAAAAGGAAGATAATTGGTTTGTGTTTGCACATTTGCTTTTAGAACGTTTTGTGCCTTCGGGCTGTTGAGGATTTGCATGCTGCCATCTATTTTTGTAAGTCGCGCCGGAGAACAAGAGTTATGTAGATGAAGGCGAGCGTTCTGCCTTGTTGAATGCTGCGGCCTACAAGCTGGGGGGAAAAGAAAAAAAAAAAAATTAGCATACAACTGTTCAGCCATTTGTTGCTCTCTGAGAGCCCGGTTTGCCTTTTGAAAGACTTTCTAAATCAGATTTTGCGGCCCCTTTTCAGCTCCAAGTTATCGGCTTTAAATTGAAACGAGGGAGGGCGAGGGATAAAGAGGAAGGGCCGGGCCCCTAAGAATGGCCTGTTTACCCCGGCGCATCTTCTTGGGTTAAAGTTTTTTGGTTTTTTTTGTATCTGGGCAGCTGATCGGGAGAGACAATGGCGGAGATTGAATGCACTGTCATTGCATAAAAAATTATTAAATGAAATCGAAACTCAATGGAGCTTTTGTAACTGTACACCGCGGCGCTCAAAATGTTATCCCGTACGGACACATGGCTTTCCAACTGTGACTGATCGCGTTTGTGTGTGTTTAACCGGCTCCTGACAGGACTGAACTTCGTGTGCCAACTGCTGGAGGGAGTCAAGGTCACTGTGACCTTGGACAAGACAGGGCTTCAGCGATGCGTCTACGATTTGGGAAGGAGGGAAACCTCCATAGACGGCACAGGCGTGGTGCAGGAGCAACGAAAGCAAAGTCAACAACGTAGCTCAAGATGAGCATCAGAGCCCACAGAGCGTAATCGGTTTGGTTGTGTTGTATGTGTGCATGTAATGCAGATGCCACCTCCATACCGGAGCAGATGCCATTGGATCTGGCCACTGGTTTGCCAAACAACAAGAGCTCTTACTAAAAGGGTAGGGAGTGTATAAAGAAAGACTCCAAAGCCATCTCAGTCTCATAGGCACTCACTGAAAAATATCCTCAAGCCTGTCTCTGACCGTGAACGGGACCGTATTCACTATGGGGGCAGATTGTGGATCGGGTGAATCTCTTATATATTATCTGTGTATTTAGATGTCTGCCTGGAGTTCAACTTGCCAGGGAGTTATATTCGTAATGGCTGGCAGGGGAAGTTTAGATGGGTCAGGAGGACCGAATACTCAGGTTTGCCTAAAAGTCAAAGTGAGCGAAACATGGGATACTCATCAGCAAAGGACAAGGTAAAAGAATGCAGTTACTCGCAGCTGGAGTACCTTGGCTTTAAAGGGTAAAAAAGCTTTTCCACCAAGTTTCCTTACCCTTTTGCCTCCACCCTAACCCTAAGCAGCTATAGACCCCATCCCTCCATATTGCTATACTTACCTAGATCTTGGCCTGAGACCCAATGCATTGTTTATATTCTCCAGCTGGGTTCTTAATCCAATGTATGTCCACCTATGCACAGTACGGCCTTGTAGACTTCTATGGGCCTGCAGACTGATCGATGCCAATTCATCTACCAGCCCAATGGAAGCCTAAGAGGCTGAACTGTGAACGTGCAAACATCTCATCAAGAGGCTGAATGGGGATTGTAAACAATCCCTTGTAAATCGTGCCTTGGAGCACAATCTAGGCTCTAGGAAAGTATAGTGATTTGGGAAGGGGGTGGGGGCTACACCTGCTTAGATGGGTAGGGGCAATAAGGTAAGGTAAGGAAACTGTGGACAAGTACCCTTTAAAATGGGCTCACTTGAGAAAAAAAACGCAGTTGAGTACTGTATGACTTTTTTTTTTTTTTGTGTGTGCCGACGATGATTTTTTAGGACAAGCAGTAGAGCTTGTATCGTAAGATTGGATTACCTGAAAGTTGAAGAACAACCTGCAAGTACAAAACAAATCCCAAGTCCAGTACTCCGCTGTGTTATTACAAGAGCTCTAATACAATCACTTCAAAGGAATTTTAAATGATTGAAGCCGTTTAAACCTCTTTACATTTATGGTGCAATAACTTATATTGGCCTCGGTTAATAGTCTGTTATGATCGTGGAGCATCATAGGCAAAACCAGTAACCGGTGACCTCATTCTCTGTGCAGAACCTCCCGTCTGGTTCTGCTTCCAGGTATTAAAAAGAGCCGAAGTCCAAACGAACCTTCTGTAGTTATTACTGTGAAGCACTCATGCTACATATACAATAATAAGCTGCATCAAGGATTAAAATAATCTGACAGCACCTTGGAGAGTCGGACCTCCCACACACTAATAGCGGCTTGGTTCTCCACTGGTCTGACACGCCCCTCTACACACTGCTCCAATCAAGAGCGCTCCAGAACCCTTAACAATAGTGTTGATTGGAGCACGATGCAGGGGGCGTGTCAAACCCTTTGTGTGAGAGCAGAGGTCCGACTCTCCAAGGTGCCGCCATATTATTTGGACTCTTGTTCTTTTTATTGCATATGTTATGAAGATGTGAAAGCAAACAACATTTTAAATACCCTTTTGAGATGCTTTTTGCTGAGGTCACATGACTATTATTCTTCATTTGGCAAGGGCTGTAGGCAGAGATAAACTGGTGCTGCCCTTAACCATTCTAGGTAATGTGATGTCATCTGCAGAGATGATGCCAGTCAACCTAAAGGGGTGGAGCGGCTGGTCATGGCAAGCCCATGTGCGGTGTCCAGACTCC